AACTTTTAAAAATAAAAATTTTCACTTTTCTAAGATGATCTATACTAGATCATCATTCAGAGTGCTGAATACTGCACTTTGGTTAATTGCAAAATGCCTTCATATACAATCGTGTTCTTACCTTCTTTGTTTTTCGATACTGCAGCCCTCTCTCTAGGTGCCGGATATCTAGGTATTCTGGATTTTGAGTGTTTAGATCAGTAACAATATCTGCCCATCTGTACGATTAAGAAGATAAAGCACAATTTCCTTTAGATCCAAAGTACCACTCTAGTAGAACTGATCATATGAGCCAACTGCTACCATATTATTATAACAATAATTGGCAATAATTCTCATTTCTCAGCACTGTACCATCTACTAATCTTTAATTACTTCTTGATTTTATGGGAGTTGTGTTTATCAAACTATTACCAACTTTCTCAGTTTAACATTGGTTGCTTTCCTGTAAAACATTAAGTCAACATACTAGATGACGTCTTTCAGGGTAAAGCAGCAACATGCCATATTTTCTTTATAGACCTTAAAAAAATTTTTAAAGCAATTAAACACTAACACAACTTCATTAACAGATAAAATGATTGTGCAGAAAATCCGAGGGGATTACAAACAACTACTGAAATTAATAAGTACATTTAGTAGAGGTATATGAGTTGGAGGCAGGTGTTAGGTACTGCAGATAAGATGTTATTTGGGATGCCCACATCCCATATAGGAGTGCCTGGTTTGATTCACGGTCTTGCTTTCCATTCCAGCTTCCTATAAATGCATACCCTTTGAAGTAGCAGGTGATGGTTCAAGTACTTGGGATGCTGACATCCATGTGTGAGACCCTGATTAATTTCCATGCTTCTGACTTCAGCCTGGCCCAGCCCCAACTGTTGTACGCTTTTGGGGAATGAACCAGTGGATAGACTATATTTCTCTGTTTCTGTTTCTCTGACTTCCAAATTAATTAATTAATTTTAAAATGATGATTGAGTCAAAGTCTATATAGAAGTATCAATTACATATTTATATAGAACAAATAACTGAAAAATTAAATATTTAAAAAATAAAATTACAACACACATAGGAAAAATCTTAATAAAAGATATGTAGGACTCTATATTGAAAAATAAAAAGTGATGCTAAAAGAAATTAAAGCTCCAAGTAGAGGAATCTGGAACACATCATGCTGAGTGAAATAAGCCAGTCCCAAAGGGACAAATACCATATGTTCTCCCTGATCGGTGACGACTGACTGAACACCAAGAGGGAAACCTGTTGGAGTGAGGTGGACACTATGGGAAACGGTGGCTTGATCAGCATAGCCCTGACTGTTAATGAACAACTTAATACATTATCCCTCTTAGTAGTTTTTTTTATCTGTTCTACTTAATATGACTGGTTTAGTTCTGTAATTGATGCACAGTTATTCTTAAGTGTTGAAAATTAACTGAAATGTGATCCCTGTTGAACATGGGAGTGGAAATGGGAGAGGGAAGAGATGTATAATTTGGGACATGCTCAGGCTGACTTGCCCCAAGTGGTGGAGTTGGAAGCATACAAGGGGATTCCAATTCAATCCCATCGACGTGGCATGTACCAATGCCATCTCACTGTTCCAGGTGATCAATTTCAGTTCACAGTTGGTCATGGTGGAGGGACTGGGAGTCAAAGGGAGCACATAGACAAGTCTAGTACCTGCTAACGCTAACCGATGGAGTAAATAAAGGGGAGAGTGATCCAACATGGGAAGTGAGATACTCAGCAGACTCATAGAATGGCAGATGTCCTAAATAGCACTCTGGCCTCAGAATCAGCCCTAAAGGCATTCGGATCTGGCTGAAAAGCCCATGAGAGTATTTCAGGCATGGAAAGCCAAGACACTCTGGCAAAAGATCTCTGCGAGTGAGATCCCAGTGGAAAGAACAGGTCATCAAAGAAGGAGGTACCTTTCTCTGAAGGGAGGAGAGAACCTCCACTTTGACTATGACCTTGTCTAAACAAGATAAGAGTCGGAGAACTCAGAGGGCTTCCATAGCCTTGGAAACTCATGACTGGAGCATAGGGAGATTACTGATGCCATAGACAGGAGTGTCAATTGGTAAAGTCAACAACAGGAGTCACTGTGCACTTACTCCTCATGTAGGATCTCTATCCTTAATGTGCTGTACATTGAGATTTAATGCTATAACGAGTACTCAAACAATATATTTCACTTTGTGTTTCTATGGGGGTGCAAACTGTTGAAATCCTTACTTAATGCATACTAAACTGATCCTCTGTAAAAAAAAAAAAAAAAAGAAATTATCAATTCCCAACTTGACTCTCACTGGGATTAAACATGACAATAGGTCTGCTCTGATTTCATCATCATTTAAAAAAAAATCATCTATTATTTTTCACTTTATGTTTCTGTGTGGGAGCAAACTGTTGAAATCCATACTTAATGTATACTAAGCTGATCTTCTGTATATTAAGATAATAGAAAATGAATCTTGATGTGAATGGAAGGGGAGAGGGAGTGGGAAAGGGGAGGGTTGTGGGTGGGAGGGACGGTATGGGGGGGAAGCCATTGTAATCCATAAGTCGTACTTTGGAAATTTATATTCATTAAATAAAAGTTTAAAAAAAAAAAAAAGCTCCAAGTAGAAATACAGTTCATGTTCACAGACTGGAAGATCATATATCATTCTGATGTTAACTCTCCCCAAACTAAACATTAAATTCTATCCTAATTAGAATCTCAACAGGTATTTTAGCCGAAATTGACAAATTCTGAAATTTTTCTGAAAAAGGAGTTTCTAGAAGGGCCAAAAAAATCCTGAAGAAGAACTCACAGGACTCACACCACCTACTTTCAAGACTTGGTATAACATACAGCAATTTACAGTGTTGTATTGGTGTATGGACAGACAACTAGATCAGTAGAACAGAGTCCAGACAACACAGACATGGGTACTTCAAAATTTCATGGAAAGCGTGAATTAAAATCTAAGTTTATTTTGATGCAAAAAAAAAAGTCATACATAGTTTTTCACAATAGACTTTTTGCATGAATTTTGAAGATCTCATATATGGTCAATTGGTTTTCTGCAGAGGTACCAGAGAAATTATATAAGGAAAAGAAAATTTCTGTAAACAAATGTAGCTGCATAAACCTCGGCGGGGTGGGGGGGGGGGGGCTGGAAATCAAAATTGGCCTCTACCTCAAACCATGCCCAAACATTAAAAACACAACTATAAAGCTTCTAGAAGGAAACACTATCTTAGCTCTTGGAGTAGACAAAAATTTCTTAAACAGGCACAAAATACTACTAATCAAAAGAATAAAATGGATAAACATGACAACTGAAATTAAGAACTTTTCTTAATCAGAAGGGTAAATCCACCTTAGAGATATTTTTCATCATTTTTCATATTTATTATTTATTTGAAAGGCAGAGTTACAGAGAGGCAGAGGCAGAGAGAGAGAAGTCTTCCATCTACTGGTTCACTCCCCAAATGGCCACAACAGCTGGAGCTGCACTGATCCGAAGCCAGAAGCCAGGAGCTTCTTCCAAGTCTCTGACACAGGTACAGGGGCCCAATGACTTGTACCATCTGCTGCTGCTTTCCCAGGCCACAGCAGATAGCTGGATCAGAAGTGGAGCAGCTGGGGCTCGAACCGGCACCCATATGGGATGCTGGCACTGCACGTGGTGGCTTTGCCCACTATGCCACAGCACCGACCCCTCATCGTTTTTTAAAAACACAGCTATCCTATAAATCTAGCAATTCCATGCCTATAAATCTACCAGGAAGAAATAGAACATTAATACTTAAAAAGGACTGTACAACAAAATATAGTATATCCATGTAATGGAAAATTACTTGTCTATATAAAGAAATGACATTCTGAGCCAAAAAAACAAGATGGATGAGCCCTGAAAATGTTACATTAAGTGAAAGAAGCCAGGCATGAAATGCTATATATTACATGAGTCCATTTATATGAAATGTGGAGAACAGGCAAATTCATACAAGCAGAAAGTAGACTAGTGGTTGCCAGTCTGGAGCAATGGGAAGTGACTGCTAATGGGTATGTGTTTTCTTCAGGGGGAATGAAAATGTTCTAGATTAGATAGTGCTGATTGGTACACAACTCTATGACTATGCTAAAATACAATGAAGTGTACATTTTTTAAAAATGGAATTCATGATATATGAATTATATTATAACAAAGTAAGTACATAATTTTCTTTAAGAATTGTACAGGACCAGCACTGTGGTATGGTGGGTAAAGCTGCCCATATGGGTGCTAGTTTGAGTCCTGGCTCATCCACTTCCAATCCAGCTCTCTGTTATAGCTTGGGAAAGCAGTAGAAAATCGTATAAGTCCTTGGGCCCCTGTAGCCATGTGGGAGACCTGGAAAAAGCTCCAGGCTCCTGGTTTCAGATCAGCCCAGCTACATCCACTGTAGCCATTTGGGGAGTGAACCAGCAGATGGAAGACCTCTTGATCTCAGCCTCTGCTTCGTAATTCTGCCTTTCAAATAAATAAATATTTTTTAAAAAAAGAAATGCACATTAATGTTCCTAAAGCTTCATTCACAATAAACCACTACTCAAAACAATCCAAATATCCATCAACCAGCAAAAGGAAAACAAACTGTGGCATACCCATATAAAGAACAATACTCACTGATATAGGAATAAACCACTGATATACATGGGACAATGCAGAAATAAAAATGCTACCTCAATGAATAAGCAAGCACAAAATAATATTGTATAATCGCATTTGGATAGAATTCAAGAACAAGCAAAGGAAACCTATGGTGATAGAAATCAAAATGGAGTTTGTCTATGGGTATTAACAGAAATAGAAAACGAGGGTGCTTGATATGATCATAAGAAGGTACCATGCATTGAGTGGGGTGGTGATTAAACAGTGTATACATTTATCAAAACTCATCTAATTATACAATTATAATCTACATTTCAAAAAATGAGAATTAAACATACTTTTTACAGTGAATGGCAGGATGTTTTCTACTTGATTCTCCAATTAAAATCCAGTATTCTACTTCTTGTGATGAGAGAGGACCCCTGCTAAATATAACACACATCACAGTAAGCTTAGTAAGTCATTCACTCCCTTGAATAGACTGCTTCAACTGCATATTAGTGGAAGATATATAAAAGTTTATATCTTTAGTACATGGAGTAATCTCCATAAGGCCTCTGGCCCAAAAAAACCCATCCTACTCTAATGACCAAGCCATGTTCTTCCTGCCCAACCTTCAGCTCTCCTTTAAAGAGGGTCACATTGTCTCTTCTTCTTCTCAGTCACCATCTCACCTGGGTGAGGTGGCCATGCCTGCCAGTATCTTTACTCAAAGGAGTGTTCAAAGAGATCATGGAAAACACATGGTATGGAAAAACTATAATGTGAATTTAAAAAAATTGTTTTGAAGCAAATCTTTCTTTTAATTCCATTTTTCCATGAACTGTTTGAGGTACCTCATGTTCATGGCTTCTGTTTTCACCAATTCTTAACTAGAACACTTCTCCCTTTGCTTGTAATTACCTTAGCATTAGCTCAGCCCATCATGAAGAAAACTTGCTAAGGAGAAAAAAAAAAGTATTAAAACTCAGCCACCCTCTGTGTTTTAGGGACCGTCTCTGTCAAACAGATACAAGTTTACCTGCATGTAAAGATATATAGTTAATAAAATAGAAACTCTGGATTAGGAAGAAACAAATATAACTATGAAGATAATATTGTTCCAGACATTAGAAATAAAAGTTGGTTCTGAGCTTCCTTGCAACCAGGACAAAGGGGGAACCCCATTAAATCCCATGTTTCCCACTACATTAAAGTAAGATGCTTTGTAAGTTACTCAGTCGTAGCAATCTTCCTGACACTGCTCATGGGTAGCATGGGATGAAGACACAGACATATATGTAAAGTCATTTGCAACTCTCCTGTAATAAACATAAAAGTGACTTTTCAAACTGTGTGCTCTTGTAATGACTAAAGAACAATGAACTAAATGCAATTCTGCAAAAGAATAAGCTGTAATATTCAAAATGTAGCCTTAAATAAGGAAAGTGTATCACTGTCTTCCCATTTCTTAAAGGTTTAGTGTATTTCTTAAAACACTTTCTACCACACACCTTCCTGGTAAAGAATCCACATAAAATATGTAAATGCTTACCTGAATGCTTTACTAGGTTTAACAGGAGTTGCTTCAAAGCCAATTGGACAAAAATAATGATTCTGGCAATGATAGATATAAGCCAGAGATTCATCCTTCAATCCATGCATTAACTTTGACAAGGCCCCTGAAGCTGCAAGGACAAAACAAAACAAAGCACACTGAGGGTCCATGAAGCGCTGTTTAAATGTCACACAAAGGACTTTCTAAAGACAGGAAAGACATTACCTGGAACACACTAACACTGTGAGGGGGAAATGAGAAGAAGCTACAGATACATACAAAAAATTATGAGGTTATTTTCAGTTTCACCATTTGGACTGAGATTCAAACTCAGACTAAAGAAGTTAAATATATCTTTCCTTATGAAAACCTTATATACATAGTTGCCTATGAAATCTAATTATTCTATAAAATCTAGTACCTAGTGTATGTAGGAATGATCTTAACATTTCTGGTTGTACACAACAGTCCCTAAAAATTTCTGAATAAGCATGCCCAATTTAAGAACATCTGCTTAAAACTCTACACACACCATACAGTACTGTTGTGTCCTTATAAAGGATATAAAAAAGAAATTTTAAATTAGATAAAAACAAACATTCTAATTAATATATAGTACATACATCCTAATTTAAAGAACACTGACATATGTATATGGATCAACAACAAACTTTCCTCACTAAAACTTTAATCTTTCTATAAAAATTACACACACTAGAGGAGCAACTTTCCCAAGCCAAGTGATGCAGTAACATCTCTACAGAGACAGGCACTAGTACCACAAAAACCTCTTACAAAGTTCCTCCTCCTTCTCTATTTCCCATAACCATAATCACTGCCAATATCAGAAATATTACTTTAAGAAGCAACTTTTTTTTTATCAGCACTTGGTACTTAAAGTCATCAACAGAAGTTTCACTAACTTGCATCTCCTGGAAGAAACTAAAATATTCATAAAGAAATCACCCATTAAAACTGGAAATCCTAAAAATAGTGGATAAAAGCCTGCAAGTCAGTTTCAACAATTGATTCTCTGGCCACTGAAATAGCTGAAGACCATAAATAACAGCAGGTCAATAACTGCAGCAGAGAGCAAGGACATACAGCCCGCATTCATCTCTCCATCTCTCTCGCTCTCATTCTCTCTCACTCTTATACACACACACTCACACACACACAATTTTTCATGCCCAGGAAGACAGTAATATTTCTGGCTTAAACTCTCTAGATTTCATCTAGACCTGCACAGATTTTTATTTCATGTACAATCACCAGAGCATCCTTACTCAGCAACAGAATCTTTTCTACTAAAATCTTTATTTCATAATGACAAATAATAAGTCTTTCTGCAGTTTTTGATTTACTTCCCCTCATAATTTAAAAACTGACAGCTCAGGGCAGCTCTCAGTGAAGAAATACAAGAACCAAAACTCAGAAGATAGTCAATATTTCATTTTCATAATTGAATTGGACTACAGACAGGTAGCAAGATAGTGAACAAATATAAATGGATGGACTTAAATCATCATAAATTCAGTAAATATGAAAGGTATTTATATACACAATTGTTTTAGCAAAATTCTTGAATTTTTTTAATACTGTGAAAATACAAAATAAAGGTTTTACCAGTAACCTTTATTATAATGTTTTAATAAAAATCTCAAGAATTTCACACTTTCCTATTTTCTTAAGTATAATATAAAACTTCTTTAATGTGACTATTAATAGTAAATACTTTAATGTCCAAGAATATATTTAGAATTTCAGGGGCAAATGAGATAGGTAAGAAAGTCTATTCTCATTGATATTCACATCATTTTGTCTGTTGGCAATATTCTTACTATGTCCTTTTCTTATTTAAAAAAAAAATTTCTTTTTAAGACAGGTAGAGTTATAGACAGTGAGAGAGAGAGACAGAGAGAGAGAGGTCTTCCATCCGATGGTTCACTCCCCAAATGGCCGCGATGGTGGGCGATGCGCCAATCCAAAGCCAAGAGCCAGGTGCTTCCTCCTGGTCTCCCATGCGGGTGCAGGACCCAAGCACTTCGGCCATCCTCCACTGCCCTCCCAGGCCACAGCAGAGACCTGGACTGGAAGAGGAGCAACTGGGACAGAATCCGGCGCCTCGACTGGGACTAGAACCCGAGGTGCCAGCACCGCAGGTGGAGGATTAGCCAAGTGAGCCACGGCGCCGGCCACTGTGTCCTTTTCTAAAACACACGAGTAATGCTTCTTCTAGAGAGCAATGTTCATAGGCTTATAATTTATTATCACTACATACTGTATAAGTATAATACAGATCTCTACAGGATATATGTACTAAGATACTATATATAATGTTTACGGACTTATAATATCAAGGATATTCTGAAGTACCACACTTCACAATAACATTCTGGCTGAATTAGATTAGCATCTGCAAATTCTCCCTTTAAGGGCCAGAGATAAGTATTTTAGGCTCATGGGTCAGTCAGTCCACATACTACTGAACTCTGCTATTGTGGGATACAGGGAGCTATGTAAGCAAATGGATACAGCTGTGTTCTAATAGCACTTTATTTACAAAACCAGCCCCTGATTCATGGGCTATAGTTTGCAAAATTTTAATTTAGACCATATAATTTCAAATATTTTTTGATATGGACATGTTTGGCAAAGCAAATTTATATAACAGGCTTGACCATAGAAAGGATCAAAGGAGAGCTGCTATAGCTCCCTGGGATATAACTGAATACAACTGCACATTGGGAAAACCAAGTTCTTTAGAAAATTTTAAAAAACGTTGGCTACTACCTCTTGAGAAAGACTACAGCAATAATTTTCAAACTTGAGCATGAAAGGCTTTTTAAATGACAGATTGCTGGTACCCACCTTGAGTGGCTGGCCAATAGGTCTAAGGGTGGGAGACCAAGAACTTGAATTTCTAACAAGTGATTAGGTGATGCTGATGTCAGTCCAAGGACCACATTTTGCAAGTCATTGGTTCCAAGTTATGAGGCACATTTAATTTAAGTGAATTCATGAGCAGCTAGTAACTATATCCAATACTGTAGAGAAACTAAAGGCAAGTAATAACAGTACCACAAGCTGTTCTAGCAGGGAAGATGAAAACAAGTAACTTTAATAGAAGGTGGAATAAAACAGTGCCACAAAAGGGGTACAGAATTCAAAGGGAAAGAATACATCAGGTTTGAGGAATCAAGAAGGGGTGGCATTCAAGATGAACTCAACGTGTGGTGGGATTTCCACAATCCAGACAGAGGAGAGTATGAGGAGAAAACAAACCACTGGGGAGGAAAGACTATATTCAGGAAACGGCAAGTTGCCTAGTTTAGAATATAGGGTACAACAGCACAGAGAAGCCTACCGTGGAGCACCCCCACAATTTCAGGAAAATCAGAAAAAGATCACCCTCTGAAATAAAAGACAGTAAATATAGCATTTAATACATTAAAGTGGTCATCTTAGAAAGTAATTCTGTTTATACTAAAACACATAAATGTGTTACTGATGGAAGCTAAATTCAGAACAAAGTTCGGTCTACACTTGAGTATATCTAAAAAACTTAAGTAACCAAACAGCCTCTACCAAGAGCAGAGCCATGATCTGTATGGTCTAGAGAAAGGAGAATAAACCTACAGGAACTGGCTGGCCTACAACACTGTTGAGAGGAATAGTAATCCTGAGTAATAAACTTGATATTATATTTCTCACATTAACTTAATATGAGTCCATTAACATTCTGACATTCTTTGAGTTTGTTTAGTATGAGCTTGCCCTATAGAGGCTGATCTAAAGAAGAACCCTCTAAGAATTTATTAGAATGTATTTTTATTCCTTCGAAGACAAGAGCAGTTTCTAAACGATGATAGAGAATCAGCAACTTAACAACCTTCTGCAAGGCCCTTCCCCCTGACATCTTTCAACACAATTGGTGTATGTAGGGCAGCAGCAGAAGGCCAGCCTAGGTTAGCTTTGAATGATACTAAGGAGTCTGTGATTTAAGCAAGCACTACAAGCCCCTAAAAAGGAAAGGGGTATATGAGCATTAAATGTCAAACAGATTGATCTGGCCTGCTTCTAATAGGAATTAGAGAAAGCCAGTGATTGAGTAAACAGAATGTCAATGCATTGTCTACCTGAGATGTGCTGAGACACTACAGTGAGTTGGTACAATGGTCATGGTGAGGGAATACATAAAGGAATGAAGCAGAAGATGATACTGTCTGTCACACGAAAGTAATGAACTATAATACCCACTAGAAGAACACAAATTACATACAGGGACATAAGTAATATTTCCAAGATAGCAAATAAGAAAAGTGATCGGCAGGCGCCGCGGCTCACTAGGCTAATCCTCCACCTAGCGGCGCCGGCACACCGGGTTCTAGTCCCGGTTGGGGCGCCGGATTCTGTCCCGGTTGCCCCTCTTCCAGGCCAGCTCTCTGCTGTGGCCAGGGAGTGCAGTGGAGGATGGCCCAGGTGCTTGGGCCCTGCACCCCATGGGAGACCAGGAAAAGCACCTGGCTCCTGGCTCCTGCCATCGGATCAGCGCGGTGCGCCGGCCGCGGCGGCCATTGGAGGGTGAACCAACGGCAAAAGGAAGACCTTTCTCTCTGTCTCTCTCACTGTCCACTCTGCCTGTTAAAAAAAAAAAAAAAGAAAAGAAAAGAAAAGTGATCTAGACTTCCATGGCCCAAATGTTGGTAGGTAAGTGAACCAACACTCTGAAATTGTCTGAATAGACAGCTAATGTTGGCAATTTCTAGCACAAGCTTTCATCATAACTAACTATCATTTAAAAAGTATTTCAAATTACATTAGTAGTTAAATTTTATCAAAATCCGTGGACTTTTCACTCCAGGAGCGAGCTCAGTTACAGGAGGGGCTGTTGGAAATGCACCTGCCAGCAAACACTGGGGAGAGACTAAGCCAAAGAGGCAAAGCCCCTGAGAAGAAACCATTTCCCCCATCAGAGAAAATAACCCTATCAATCCTTAAAAATAACTTACACCAAAAGAGAAGATACATTTCAGAGTATGTTTTAATAAATAGCGCCAACTGATAATAGTTTTCATTAATGAATATTCCAGGGACAAATGAGAAAAGCCTCCCTTTAGTTCTTCCTTTCACAATGAGAGAACAGAAAATATGTCTGTCTTACACCTTCACACCACCCCTACCCTGCATACCATCAGAAGTTACAGAGCAACACATGTGAGGATATGGGCGTCCCCCATGGATAAATGGGCTGCTCAGGACAGTCCCCGTGGACAAGGAGCTGAACATCCACATCAAAAAGATAAAATACAATATAAGATATGCTATACCAATGGCAAATGGTAGCTGCCAATAATCAGTACTAGAGCAATTAAGAGGAATCCAGGGGTACAGGGGCCACAGAATGCTTCAGAGATGGAGCAGGGCTTGAGTGGAATGGCTGATCAGTGAAGAGCAAGACAAGAAAACACCAAGGCATAAGCAGACAAGTTGTGTTTCAGTGAGAATTCAAGAATTCCAAAAGGAAAATGAAAAAGTGAACAGAACTGGGAAAATAAATTACTAAAACATATTTGCAGAAACCATCCATTCCCACGCCAAAAAAGGAGAGGGGGGAAGAGGAGGGACTGGTACTTTTCCCATTCCTCAAAGGACAAAGACTAAACATTAGAGGACATTTAAACGTACAGGTGAAAATGTCAGCAGGACTAAGTGCCACACATCCTAGATTATTTATGGTGACTGGTAAACAAGCCCATCAAATCATTACATCTAAACAAATCATGAAGAACACAGGATATACCAGACTATAATACTGGGAAATAGAACAAAGTACAGATCCTCAAAAGATCTACAAAGGAGCATATCGAATACAGTTATGCTACTGAGAAGTTGTACACAACATTTGATTAAAAATATTTTAAAATTTTGAGCTGGCGCCCTGGCTCAATAGGCTAATCCTCCACCTGTGGCATGGCACACCGGGTTCTAGTCCCGGTCGGGGCGCCGGATTCTGTCCTGGTTGCTCCTCTTCCTGTCCAGCTCTCTGCTGTGACCCGGGAGTGCAGTGGAGGATGGCCCAAGTCCTTGGGCCCTGCACCTGCATGGGAGACCAGGAAAAGCACCTGGCTACTGGCTTCAGATCAGCGCGGTGCGCCGGCCGCAGCGGCCATTGAGGGGTGAACCAACGGAAAAAGGAAGACCTTTCTCTCTGTCTCTCTCTCTCTCACTGTCCACTCTGCCTGTCCAAAAAAAAAAAAAAAAATTAAATTTCAGAATTGTGCTCCCTAAATCAACTATCTCTGGAGCCTTTTTTGGTATTTTATTACATTCCATTAATAAAAAATTACATTTTCTTACTTTATGAATTCAATTGGGTTTATGTAGCCGATATTTACTCCATAACCACAGTTTCTTTGCTATCATGTTTTTTTTATATTCTAGTTTCTGAACCTTCCCCTGATTTACTTTAATTTCACTGTCCTATCTCTTCAACTATCCAACTACCCCATCTAGATGCTGCTGATATTAATACAGCAAAACACAAGCTACACTGAGGAACTCCTCCAATGACCACAAAGACAAGCAAGTGCTCTGGTGTCTCCCAGGGCCCCAGTCATAATGCAATCTTGGGACACAAACCTAAAAACTGCTTTAGGGGCCTTCTGTTGTATCCTACACATATTTGACATCTCCATTGATCATTTCTATACCCCAGACATGTATTATGCCTCATATTCCATTAAAAGAGATATAAATAAATCCCACAGATCAGTTAAGAAATGATTCTGAGATGTGCTTAGTTTTATATTGAACACTTAGAATGAAGAGGGCAATCAAGACACTACTAAGGTAGAACTCTCCTGTCATTAGGAATACATAACACCCAGAAATCTGAAGAATGGCCGATTCAGACACTTCTAGACATGGAAAGATGATGCCATACATTAAGATGGAAAGTAGGGAAGGTGTACACAAGTGTGGATAAAGAAGGTTTTGGTGGTGTGGGGAGGGAGAGAGCAGGTAGGAACCTGCAGGAAAGTGAGAGAAAGAAAGAGTAACATAAATATTTTCCTTTCAATGTTAAGACAGAGAGCACTTCCAAAGGAACAATTTCAGCTCTTTGGTCCGAGAAAAACAAAATTCTCTTCCAGAAATCTACTAACTCCAATCTTCTGAATTCCTCCTGCCTCCTCTCCTCAATCCTAGGACTCATTAAATTAATTCCTACTGAACACCGAAATATCAGGCATTGTAATGCATAAATGAGTAAGAACTCATACCTAGTCCTCAAAGAAGGTGGCTCAGATATTTTCTGGAAAAAAAATCATCCAATTCAGTATGCTAAGAACCACCTAGCAATGAAATGAAAGTTCGATCATAGGCACATCCAGGTGCTATGATAACCCAGCATGGGAGGGATTTATTGCTGCCAGGCAAGCAGGAGAAAATTTCTCCCTACTTAAGTCTAGGATAGACAAAAGAACAGGTATCCACCAAAGTAGGAAATTCCCCATTTCTCACAGTCCTCAGCAGCCATTCCACAAGTAGGGCGGGACCCAAGCGGACCTGTATTTCATGAAGCCCAAGGTGACCAGATATCAAAGGAGATTGGCGGCAGAGAAGTACTCTGAGGCTAGCACCTATCTCCATGGAAGAACGTGACTCAACCCTGAATTATCTTCATTAAAATCAACCAGATGTCCTTGCAGGTGGATGCGAGTCACAACTGAGTAGATGAAGACACATTCTCATACTCTTTTGCAGAAGTCTTGAATAATATTTTCCTTATCATCATTACAAATGTCAGCATAGTTTTTTCTCTAGTAAGGTATTATAATTTTCTCATTTATAAAGCCAAAATATTAAAATGTAAATCGTTATATAATAAAACTATTTAATTAACACATAACTAAAATAACCCTTAGGATCAACTCCATTAATATCCCTCTTATAACTAGGAGTGTTTTATAATAGAACTTGGTCACCTTCACAGTCTATTATCCTGTCATTATAAGTTATCATGCAGTCTAACTCAAATCTTTATACTCTCTTTTAGGGAAAGGAACAGAGATATCATGCTTTTTCATCAAAGAAGTTTTTTTTATCATGCACACACACACACACACATACCATGGATCCAGACAATCCAATGTGTTAGCACTGTCTTAAAGTTCAAAAACTTCTACATGCAAAGAACAGAAGAGGCAATATATATTATTATACATATATTAAAATAATATATATAGAATATATATTCAATAAATATTAAACTATATATTGGAAAGTTTCCTACAGATTATTATGATTTCCCACTTGGATGAAGAAATACAAAAAGAAAAAGACTGAGTTGAGGGTTTTGTCCCATTGATCAAAATGGTCAGTCTTTGAGATGGACCCTGAAGTGTGTGTGTAGGTGTGTGTGTGTGTGTGTGTAGGTGTGTGTGTGTACAAACCTTCTATACGTGTGCTTACCAGTTTCTCCAGCTGTTTTGTTCTTCCCATGAGGCTTATACAGAACATAAGAGCATCCTTTTACATGGAAATGGTCATTAATTTGTCTAAACCATCTGAAAAAAAAAAAAGATTTGCTCACAAACAGTTCTACATCAAAAGTGGCAACATGAAAGTCTGTGTCATCTCACCAAATTAAACTGTTGCCTGCGACATCAGAATCATAGTTGTCAACCCATAAGTGCCAGTTCAAGTGGCTGCTCCACTTCGGTTCCAGCTTCCCATGGGTGCATCTGCGAAACCAGCAGATGATGACCCAAGTACTTGGACCCCTCCCACCCACATGAGAAACCTGGATGAATTCCATGCTCCTACCCTTGTGCTGGCCCAGCCCCAGCTGTTGGGCCATTTGGAGAATAAACCAGTGGATGGTAGATTTCTCTCCCTCTCTCTATCTCTGCCTTTCATATAAATATTTTTTTTGTAAATGGCATTATTCCAATTCTAGAGAAATTCTAGCACAGCCTAAGTTTGGCATATCTATGAGTGGATGGGACCCAGCAGGTGGATGCATGGTTTACAGTCAACATTATTATTGTACAGAACTAGAAACTAGGTTTTGCCTCTAAGCAAATCTTCATACCTCATAAGTGTTGTATTTCCAGTGAAAGGACCAAACCTAATATCTTCAAATGGAGGTTGAAAACCCAAAATATGTAAAGCCTCTTCTTGGGTAATAGGTGGAAGACTATAAAAATTAAAACAAAAATGCCTTTTATTTTATAATTCCAGTCATATGCAAATATAACCTATCTCAATATTAATGTCTGTACAAACAATTTCAGTAGTATTTCTCATTTTTAGTTTATTCAACATAAGACATACATGTAATCTGAGCTTAAAGACATAATAAAATACAGCTGTTTCTTCTTAATTTATGAAAAATGTCTTCTTAAAAATCTTCTATTATAGAAAAAGCAACACCAAATTACTTACAAATTTGGAATCAGGAATACTGATAAATTGACATACTTACTTTCCAGCTCCCATTGTGCTATATAAGAAATTCCAACAAGAAATTAATGAAGAGATACCACAAGAAGTCTTATACTGTGGTCGGCTTATACAGTACCTAAGAAAACAAAAGATTGCTTTCATCAGTTGAATGAATACAAATTATGCATAATATAAATGTAAACATTACAAATGTGTAATATTATATTATTATATTATATATTATATATTGTTATATTATTCTATTATATATATGCATATATTATGTATTATATTATTAACGCATGTGAACCAGAAATATTAAAATAATGAAAACTTTTGATAATTTAGATCAATATAAAGTCTGTATTCACCTATCAACTGTATCATGAATGTATAACAATAATAAATCACTCATTTTAAGAAAGATAGCTAAGCATGACTACTAACGTGGATGCTATCCAAACCAATGAAAACATTCATGACATAAATTTAGACCTCACCTATGAAGATATCAGAGTTCACACCACACAGGTAAGCTGCACACATGGTTACATGCAACTCCAGAAATACTGGAGGGGCCAGCATGGTGGTGTGGCAAGTAATGCCACTGTCTGCAATGCCAGCAACCTACGTGGGTGCCAGTTTGAAACCTGGCTTCTCTGCTTCCAATCCAGCTCCCTGCTATGACCTGGGAAAGCAGTGGAAGGTGGCGCATGGGAGACCCGGATGAAGCTCCTGGCTCCTGGCTTGAGCCTGGCCCAGCACTGGCCATTGTAACCATCTAGGGACTGAACCAGCAGACAGAAGACCTCTCTCTCTCTCTCTCTCTCTCTCTGTCTTTCCCTCTCTCCTTATAACTCTTTCAAAATAAATAAATAAATCTTTTTCCTTCAAATCTCTAAAAGATTTCTGAAAAGAAAAAGAAAAATACTGGAAAAACAATGTTTTCTCCCATATGTCAACCTCTCAAACAGATTATTCAATTTGAGGGAAGACATCAGTTGGCTTTCAAATTATCTTTTCCCAACTGCTTTCGAATTAAGATGCTAATAAGTGATGAAAATGATGACAAACAAGAACTATCATCATTAAGCCCAATTTTAGTCTTGCCTGAAAAAAATACTCAAGGAAAAAAATACCAAAAACATATATATATTATGTATATATAACTTTATACATGAACATGTGTGTTTATCATTGTACATGTTTATATAATGTGCACATTGATATATACACAGATCAGCAAAAACCCCAAATCTAAAGACCATTAAGACAGCGAGACACAAAAGATAATAAGGTCACTTAATATAATATACTAAGTCTCCCTAAAGAAATATGTTCAAGTCCTAATCTCTGGTATCTGTGAATGTGACCTTATTTGGAAGTGGGGTCTTTGTAGACACATTCAAGTTAAGATGAAGTCATCCTGGAGTATGATTAGTGTCCTTGTAAGAAAAGAAAAAGAGACACACAAGTCGAACACTATGTGAAGACAGACTGAGAGGAGACATCAGTGACCCTATAGGCAGGTACTAAAGTGCTGAGGCTAGAAGCCCAGGAACACCAATTTCTGGCTAAACACCAAAAAAAAAGAAAAAAAAAAGCACAAGCAAAGAGGGGTCCTTCCTACAAGTGCCAGCAGGAGCAAAACACCACCAACACCTTGATTTCAACCTTTGGCTTCCAGAACTATTTTTTTTTTTTTTTTTTTTTTTTTGACAGAGTGGACAGTGAGAGAGAGAGACAGAGAGAAAGGTCTTCCTTTGCCGTTGGTTCACCCTCCAATGGCCGCCGCGGCCGGCGCACCGCGCTGATCCGATGGCAGGAGCCAGGAGCCAGGTGCTTTTCCTGGTCTCCCATGGGGTGCAGGGCCCAAGCACCTGGGCCATCCTCCACTGCACTCCCGGGCCACAGCAAAGGGATGGCCTGGAAGAGGGGCAACCGGGACAGAATCCGGTGCCCCAACCGGGACTAGAACCCTGTGTGCCGGCGCCGCTAGGCGGAGGATTAGCCTAATGAGCCGCGGCGCCGGCCTTGTTCCAAGCCATTTTAAGCTACCCAATTCATGGCACTCTGCTACAATGGCCCTAAGAATCTAATACACTAATTAACACCTAGGAAAAGGAAAATTACAGTATGAATGACTTGTTTATATTTATTTTCAAGACTGTTTAGGGGCCAGTGCTGTGCCCTAGTGGGTAAAGCCGCCGCCTAAGGTGCCAGAATTCCACATGGGCACCGATTAGAGTCCTGGCTGCTCCACTTCCAATCCCGCTCTCTGCTATGGCCTGGTAAAACCATGGAAGATGGCCCAAGTCCTTGGGCCCCTGCACCCACATGAGACACCCAGAAGCAGCTCCTGGCTCATGGCTTCAGATCAGCACAGCTCTGCAGTTGCAGCCAGCTGGGGAGCGAACCAGCAGATGGAAGACCTTTCTCTCTCTGCCTCTGCCTCTCTGTAACTCTTTCAAATAAAATAAATAAATCTTTAAAAGACTGTTTAAATAATAATTCCTACTCATAGAAATAATCCTAGTTTTAGAAAGCATTTGATTTGCCAGCGCTGCGGCTCACTAGGCTAATCCTCCACCTGCGGTGCCGGCACCCCAGGTTCTAGACCCAGTTGGGGTACCAGATTCTATCCTGGTTGCTCCTCTTCCAGTCCAGCTCTCTGCTGTGGCCCAGGAAGGCAGTGGAGGATGGCCCAAGTGCTTGGGCCCTGCACCCACATGGGAGACCAGGAGGAAGCACCTAGCTCCTGGCTTCAGATCGGAGCAGCGTGCCAGCTGTAGTGGCCATCTGGGGGTGAACCAACGGAAGGAAGGCCTTTCTCTCTGTCTCTCTCTCTCTCTCACTGTCTAACTCTGCCTGTCAAAAAAAAAAAGTGTTTGATTTACATAGCTTCTCATATTTCATACCAACTTTCACAAGTATTTGTATGGTCATAGCTCTAATGAACATTCTCTTCTATGAACAAACTTCCTACAAATCGACTTCAAGGTCACTCTCGGTTACTCTTTGCAGTCTGTTCTCTTTTTTTCAATTTTCCAGTCAGGTTTGTTGGTTTACGGTCCATGTAGAAATGTTAGGGCTCACAGGCTTTAGTCGCTGAACCATTGCACAATTGGGTCTGTTGCTTACACAGTTGAAGAACAATGTGAATATAAAATCTCTGGGTGACTGCTCCTCCCCCTGAGAAATATAATCCCACTGCAGCCTGACAGCTGGGGCTACCATGGTGAAGACTGACACTGAAACCAAAAGGAAAATCTGTCTTTGTGTGAATTGCTTTTGTGTCTGGACTCCCATGGCGATTTATGCCTGAAGTTCAGTAACTCCACCAGAAAGCACCTGGGTGCTGAGCAGTTGGGAACAATTTTCCTTTCTTGAAAAAGGTCTTCCCCTTTCTACTGCTGATGCCAGCCTTGATTTCAGGAATGTGCCTTTAAGTTGTGACTTTAAATATCTTTTTCTGTTTGACTTTTCTGATCTCACCCTCCAGAACACCACTTTTGGATCCTCTGTCATCCACATTCATCTATTCTTTAACTGTTTTTATGTCTCCACTCTTTCCCATCGGGGTGTTGTGTGGTTTCCTCGCATCTGTCCACCATAGGCTTACGGGTTTTTGTTTTTGTTTTTGTTTTTTACCTTTTGTCTTGTTCTTAGCTACTAATGTGATTGTTACCTCTGTGATGATCTTCATTTTTTCCTCCATTTCCTTTTCAACAGCCTGCCAAGTATTTCTCCTGCTATTGTCATATAAATCTCTTCTCTGAACTCATTTTTGGAAAATGTATAAATTACATTTTCAGATAAAGAACTTTTTCTGGATTTGAACCTTATTTCCTTGCGTAAGTCTGCTGAAGATGAGCTTCTGCAGATGATCCTTTCTGTGGTTGTTGAGAGTTTTTATACACAAGTCTCAGGGTGTTTCTTTCTGTTTATTATGTATTCTTGAATTCAGCTGGTTACTCTAAAAAGCAGTTCCAACAAGAGCACTGAAAGTATCAACTGAGACAGTCTGAATTTTGATTTCAGGTTTGCTGTCACCACACTGTCAAACCTGTGAAGTCTTCCCTATAGTTCTGTTCTTTAATTGTGGTTAAAAAAAAAAAAAAATACAGGGCCGGCGCCGCGGCTCACTAGGCTAATCTTCCGCCTAGCGGCGCCGGCACACCGGGTTCTAGCCCCGGTCGGGGCGCCGGATTCTGTCCCGGTTGCCCCTCTTCCAGGCCAGCTCTCTGCTGTGGCCAGGGAGTGCAGTGGAGGATGGCCCAGGTGCTTGGGCCCTGCACCCCATGGGAGACCAGGAAAAGCACCTGGCTCCTGGCTCCTGCCATCAGATCAGCACGGCGCGCCAGCCACGGCAGCCATTGGAGGGTGAACCAACGGCAAAGGAAGACCTTTCTCTCTGTCTCTCTCTCTCACTGTCCACTCTGCCTGTCAAAAAATTAAAAAAAAAAAAATACAAAAATCTACCATCTTAACCAATTTTAAGTGCACAGTGTTAACTATATTCACAATCGTTGTGCAACAGATCTCTAAAACTTTTTTATCTTGCAAGCCTGAAACCCTGTACCCAAAAAACAACTCCCTTTTTCCCCAATCTCCATCCCTGGCACCCACCATTCCACTTTGTTTCAATAACTTTGTTTAAACACTTCATATAAGTGGAAATATACTTTACATTTGTCTTTTTGTGTCTGGCTTATTTCACTTAGAATAATGTCTTCAAGATTCACAGATGTTTTAACATATGACAGGAGTTTTTTCTTTTTGAAGTCTGAAAAATATTCCACCATACACATGTACATACCACATGTTCTTTATCCATTCATCCACTTAGGGGCACTTAAAGTACTTCTAATTGTTAGCTATTGTGAACAGTGCTGCAATGAGTATATAAATGCAGTTATCTCTTTGAGATCCTGCTCTCAAATCTCTTGGAAATACACCCAGAAGCTGGACTGCTGTAATATACGGAAATTTCATTATTCTACTGTTTTCTGTGGTTGCTGCATAAAGGGTTAGAATTTTTCCACATCCTCACCAATACTTGATATCTTCTGGTTTTGTTTACTTGACAGTTATCTTTAAAACTGCAAAGACACTGTTTTCTTCCAAAAAAAAAAA